TCTTTTGACTTTTATTAATCACTTATTGGTATTGTGGTTTAATGAACCATTACAGGAGAGTGTACAATTGGCTACTCGTATAACTTTTCTATATTACTTATTTAAGGAGTTCACCCAAAGGTTTTCTACCAATTGCCATACCTAACACTCCTGCTTGGATGTTCCATTTTAAACTCTCTGAACCTGTAACCTATGTTAACATCACTGGTTATCTCAGATGTACCAGATCATCATCCTCAACCTTAGGACTAATTTATCCTTAAGGTAAACCCTCCAGAGCCTTCTGTACCCATTTTTACAACTGACCTAGGTATTGCTATAGCAGAACCAACACTTGTAGTTAGGACTAACCATTAAACTGCTATGCTCTTGTAGAGTTTACTTAGACCCCAGCATTTACTTCATAGCATAACCTCAGTACTTTAGTATACCCCTGCCTTTTTCCTTGCCCTTTTATCAAACTCCCAATTCTGATAGCTCATATAAGACTATGACCAGTCTATTGGTATATCAGGTTAGCCTGATATCCTTTTCCTTCAGTTCATTCCTGTGGCCTAGTTGGTGGTACCTCTGAGACTCCCAACTCAGAGGTTCTTGCCTGTTCAGCTACTAGAATCGGGTACTAGACCTTGGTATCTATTTCCCCAAGCTAGTCTTTACAGTAGGGCTGTTGAAGATCTAGCTATCTTTCTATTCAGGTCTTTCCAAATAGACTTCTTGTTACCTAATTTCAACAGATTTACATGATCACAAGAACTTATTTAGTGTTTGCACTGCCCAATATGTTGGTTTGCATTCCTCTGTATAACTTCAACATTGCACAGATGCCTCATGACCTGTCAGTCATGCTGGTATGACCGCCATTACGGTATCCTAATCCAATTGTTAATAACAGTTACTGTAATACAAATATTACATAGGTGATTATTCAAATTTTTGTCATCGATAGGATTTGAACACCTAATCTACCACTTGAGGGGTTGACAACCTTACCACATTTTTTGGTTATTTCTTTTGAGACTGTTAATATTGTGTGTTGCTATATTTAAGTTAATTTTGTTCTTTGTATAGATTTTCTTTATTGGCATTTGTCACTCTATTTTATATTGTTAATTATTTGTTCTGTTTATATCTTCAAATTTCTCTTTTTGACCTCTAAAAGTCTTTTTGATATTTCTATTAAGTAATTTCTTTTTGGCTTTTGAATTGTTATTTAGTTGATATAGATGCTGTCTTGTATTTGTTTCTAAGTTAGTATTTGCTATTAGTAAAGAGAATCCTGCTTCTATATCCTAGTTTTTTAATTCAATTATGGCATCTTTTAGGAGTAATTTATTTCTTCTTTACTTATACTTGCATCATTACAAATATGATGTGTTTTCAGTCTATCTAATCTTAATAATATTTTTTGCAGTAATTCTTGCATTTGGTCTAAAATATTATTTTCTTTTAATTGATTAGGCTAACTTATACGAGTGTTGTTCTCTTTTTCACTCTTTGTGTTTTTAGTTTTTATGTTGCTTCTAAATTTTTCTTCATTTATATCAACCTTAAGATCTTCAGTATTTCTGTACTTTTGTTTGTCCTCTCTGGAATTTTTCTTTTTCACTTTTGCTTTATTCCAAAAAATTCAATAATTGTTATATCTTATTGGTTTTGATTTTGCTGCATTCATTTCTTTTTTGGATGCAAATGTAATTGTTGTTGACCTTCTTTGATTACCATTTCTATTTGATGATATGTACACAGACTTTGCTTCTTTGCTTTTTAGACAATGTAGAAGCAACACCTCTGATGCATTTGCTGAAAGGTTTCTTAACTTTGTTGTAAACTAGCTTTGTTAATCATATTGATTATAGTTCTCATTATCTTTGCTTAGCTTGCTAATTTGTGGGTTCTGATTGGTAATGACTATAAGATGTTCTCTTCTGTAAGATAATCTGTCCTAATTACTATCAAAGTTTTAAACTTGGATTTTTTGATCTGAATTACTTATGCCTTCCTAATGTTTTTGCATATATATTTTATCTTTTCTGAATTGATGTTTGCTGGCAGATCACAAATCATGAAGTAGTTGTATTGGTTTGTATCATCATTAATTACATTGGGTTCTTCTATTTTAATTGCTTCTATTAGACTTGTTGGCTTTGTATACTCTTTTCTCTTCTTTTTGTTATCTTTAAATTGTTGCTTAGTAATTTTCTTCTGTTCATTATTTTCTTCTAAGATAAGTTAGAGCCAGTCATCTTTTTTTTCTCTAATTCTGTCCATTGCTTAATCTCTACTATATTCACAATCAAAATCAATCTCAACCTAGTTATTGTCTTTTTTGAAAACTTCTTTTACTGTTTTAATGTGGTAGTTTTTCCTTACAATTCACTTGACATATTTGACTCTTTCTTCTTTTGAAGCTCCTAGCAATGTATAGGCTAGCATATTTGCTCTAAAAGGTTTTTTTTGTTACAAATTCTGTTTCTTGATGACTATTGTCTATGTTTGATTGTATCCAGGAATATTGTTTTTGCATTATCATTATCTTCTTTTTCCACATTCTGTATTCTTTTGTCAATAGATTCAATATTTTTTATAACATCATAGAGCATATTATTTACTGATACTTTAGCATCTTCTTTTAGCTTTTTACCCTTTTAATACTTGTTTTGTTGTCTTTTAGAGCAACTTTTGTTAGTCTTAAACTTGAGGTAGAGTTTTGATTAATTTTTCTCTCTGTGCTATCTTCTTTTTGCTGTCTCTTTTTACTAATTATAGTCTTTGTTTCTTTTACTTTTTTGACTCTAGATATTTCTTCTATTTTCATTTTATCTTGAGTACTTTTTTCCTGACTTATATTTAATATATATTCTATAGAGCCTAGATGTTGATTTATTATTTTAAGTTTTGTTACCCATTCATCTGTAATACCTTCTTCCAACTATCCTAGTTCTGCAAGACAAAGGGCTTTCAAAATTTGACTATAAAGCAATAAGTCATCAGGTGTAATATGACCTGGATCACTTAACATAAGGTCTTTTGCAATATACTCAATATTGCATAGGCTTTTTGTAGATATTATTAGAACATGATCTAAAATTTTGCTGTTAATATATTTATGGTTTCTGTTACTCATTCCCCTGATGTAATTTATAATATCTGATATTTGAATCTCATTCATCAATCTACTAGATTAGGTTGTTTCTTGTTTAGATAATTCATGTGCACTTATTTGTTGTAATATTATTGGTTGGTTTGTTAAATCCTAGTTAAAATAGTGATTACCTAATTGGGAACATGTTTGGTTTATTTGTTGTTGTTTGTTTATATTTTGTAATCACATGTTACAATCTTTTGTTTTTCTAGGCTAACAACAAATTTCCAAAATTACAAAAATTCTCAAAAGTTTTAAAATTTTATTAAAAAAAGTCAAGAAATTTTATATTTGTTGTTCAAGAAGTTTATTTTTCTTTGTATTCTAATAAAGCAATGATGACTTCTGATATTAGGAGCTTTTTCTAATACTATAATAAGTGTTTGCTATACTACTTTTCATTGTATTTTCAGTTTTGTAATTTTGTTTTTTCCTAAATTAGGGATCAGTGAAAAGAGTTTCTACTTATTTTTTTATTTTCAATTTATTCTTTAATTTTATTTTATATTTATTTAAATTCTTTTCTTTAATTCTATGCTTTAAAATTAATTTTAATATATATAATAGATCAAATATCAAACTAATCTTTTATATATAATTACTAATATTTAAATCTAAATGAACCTTAACTACTTTTATTAATTTAGATCACAGATAAATTAGTTTAAACTTCTATTCTTTTTATAATATTTTTAAAAATAAATTTATACTTTATATAAAAATTTTAGATAAATATTTAATAAAAATAGAAGCATATCCTCACTATTAATATTAAAAAATATATATAAAAACAAATTTTATCATTAATATTATAAAAAATATACATATATAAAAATAAAATAAAATTAAATAAAATTCAAACTTTTATAATAATTTAATCAAAAAATCAATATTATTTAGCTATAATATTAATTTATAATTATTTAATTTACAAAATTTATTCTTTTTTGATTTATAAAAAACCTTACTTTTTTATTAATATTAAAAAAATTAAATTATATAATTATATAAAATAGTATCTAAAAAGTGGGCTTTTTTTATGAATCAAAAAAGAATAAACCCTGTATATCACAAAGCATAAACTTCACGTGACAACCTAGCTAAGCAGAAATGTAAACATAAGTATAATATATATATACTTAATATGTAAAATATCACCAAAATTTTAACCATTAAGATCTTAACCATCAGAATCTTGATATCAAAATTCTGAATTGCCAAGATCTTGAGCTTGCGAACCTTAAAACGATTGAGATCAGTGTCATGTGTCAAGATCACAAGTACTCGTAGCTTCCAATTTTGTGAATTCATGATCTCATGACCCATGAATTCGATTCTATGGCCGCTAATATATTGACGTAGCTTAGTTACAACTTATCGACATTTAAAAGATAGGTTGATACGATTTCATAAGCTGTGACTAAATTGCATCAATATATATATTTATAAATTTGTCATCACCAACATAATCTACACTGGATGCATAGTTTCAAACCCAGCTTCTATGGTGCCCCAAAAGTATTGACTTGTAAGTCTATCCAAATTAATTTCTAAAAAGTAACTTATATATTTATAAATTCATATGACAGTATACATGACTTTATGATTGGTTAATATTAACTACTATATGTGCACTTTTATTGATTCATTCCAGTGAGATTATCCTTCCAGGGTAATTTTTCATTGGAGCCACTGGGGTATTGGAAAAATCGGGGTTCCAGATTCCAGTCAACAACACTGAATGCAACCGCCTAAAAAAATTAGATAAATAAATTAAATTGAGGTACTAATACACAAGATGCCATACCAGCGTAGTACTAAAGAGAACCCATGGCAAATCAATAATTAAGTTTACCTGTTTGTTCAACCATAACATCAATGGAATCACCATCTTCCATTTCCAACTAATAATTAAAGACCATCGTTATATCATAAGAATCAATATAACATATACAAAAAGCAACCATTAAAATAGAATTAAACATGCCTCAAGCGGAGTGTTGTGAGGCTGTACGCGTTCACCATCATAAAGGAAACGGAGCGAGTTAAAAGCTTTGCCTTGTCTATCACAGAAAGCGTCCATCAGCTTTTTCAGTTGTGTTGTTCGCTTAATTTTAAAGAACATCTCATTGTGATCCTAAAGAATGCGACGCGTCACTTCGTTATACGAAATAATAATTTAATGGTAAACCCTTTTTTAAAAAAACGAATGCTTACGCTTCCAACCACCTTGAGATTGATATGTTCACTGCTACTTCCTTCCTTCTTGCTCTCCCCGGGCTGTCCTGTAGGTTGAACAGAAGTTGGAGTCGAAGACATAATGTTAAATGCTCAGGTCTTGATATTCTTTTCTTGAAAAAAAGTTGGTGCTTATGTAGCGATTCAGTCTTCTCTTTTAAGAACAAGCGTGTCAGTAGGACAAAGGTAGAATCTGGCAAATAACAACCGTTCTTTTTTATACAGGATCTAAATTTATTAAACTTACTACTTTTGTATCAGTTGTCCTACGATTCATCGGTGTTGTAACATGTCACGAGTAAGTACAAAATTCAATTAAATGAGAATTACGTCATGGTATCTTACAATGATTTTTGACTAATAACGATAAACGAATATAGGACTTAAATAATATATATTAAATTTGACAAAAAACTTTACGGTTTTACTAAGTTACTAGTGGTATATCTTAAAAATTAATAAATTAATTAATGTTAGTAAAAATGCTTAGCATCTTCAAAAACAACCTATTACAATTAGAGATTTTTCAAATTCGTGTAACGCAGATCATTTCTCTTTTTGGGGTCCTTAAAGCCGGGTTAAAAAAGTTACATTTTTGATGTATTTAGAGTTACCATTTTGATACAGTTAGGGTTAGTAGGTTATTTAGATATCAAGAATACAATTTGTACAGTATGTAAATTAATATATAAAATCTGTTTTATTTTAAGAAACTTCTTTTTTTAGTAAAAAATTCTTGATTGAAAAATTTTTATAGTATAAAATTTGCATTAATTATTGTGTTATATTGTTACTTGATGTGTAATTATTTTAAGTTTCAAAGATTTTTAAATTATATATTTATAAAATAACTTTTGCAAAAATATTTTAAAGGTTTTTTTTTTTTTTTGCTTTCACTAAGGCTATTAGTTATTGATGGCTACTGCCTTTATTGTAAATTTAATTATGATTATATAACTTGTATAAGGTTACTTCTATATTACACTAGCAGATATTATACAAGTTCCTATACACCTAATTAGATGTTATCTAACCTAACCCTAACTTTCCTGTCTGTACATTCATCAAGCCATTATATATTTTAGAGTATGTTACTTGACTGTAGAGTTTCAGAGAGCTCACCTGCTAACTAACTACATATATTTAATCTTTACTAACAGGACTCATCTTTATAAAGTTTATCTAGATCCTAGTACTGACTTCATATCTTTAGTACTTGTAATATATCTCTGCTTCCAGTCTCAGACTCCCAATTCAGATAGCTTAGTAGAACTATGATTTGTTCCTGATACTTCAGGATCTGCCTTCTAAAGTTTTTTTTCTTCGATTTGAGACTTCTAATAGCCTGGTTGGTGATATCTCTTATCTGAAGTTCTTGTCTACCTGATTCTTTCTATATTGGTATCTGGTTTCTAAGTTTAGCCTTTACAGTAATACTGTTAAATATTCATATTACCTTTTTACTTAGGTTTTTCCAAATGGACTTTGGCTTTCTAGTTTATGGATTTATATAGCTATAAAGATTTATCTTATGTTTGCACTATCTGATACCAGTTTACATTTTTCTGTATAACTCCAACATTGTGCAGATGCTCTATGACCTGCTAGTCATGCTGGTATAACTGTGTTATAGATATCTTATTCTAACTAATCAATAGAATGCCATTGTTATAATACTATCTATATATTATATAGGTGACTATCCAAATTTTCACTATAGTAAAATTTGAACTTACTATCTACTACTTAAAAGATTAACAACTTATTCACTTTACTAAGTTACCACATCTCTATTTTTTTTAAAGGTTTTTTAAAGATAGGGTCATATAGATCATTTTTATATCATAATATTTATATTGTCATCTAACTTGATATATGCTACTAATAAAACTTTTTTATTTTTTAATTAATTAATAAAAAAATTTTATAATATTATAAATAAAAT